GCTCTCGCCTCTCTCTTTTTTATTTGATTGACTGCACAGCATCTAGAGACCTAGGCTACATTATTCTGTTCCTCTTGTCTAATTTGTTTATTTTATTTTTTGAATCATTTTCTTGGGGGCTCATGCAATTTTCATCCATTGTGTCAAGTGCATTTGTACATTTGTTGCCCTCATCATTCTCAAAACATGTTCTTTCTACTTGAGCCCTTGGTATCAGCTCCTCATTTTTCCCTTCCCTCCCCCACCTTCCCTCCCTCTAATTTGTTTATTTTAAAAAGCAGAATTTAATGGGAGCTAAGTTGTGCGACATAGAGACATATAAGTCAGACTGTGGCAAAGATTTACAGTAAAATGTCAGAGAAACCCAGACTGTCTTCTCCAGGACTTAGTGCTGCACCTGAGTGAGCGCCCAAGGAACTAGTGTCCAAGGCAACATGGTGAATTTAAATGCCGACTTGTATAGTTTTCATATTTCCCTTGTCTTGCATCAAAGTGGCCTTTGGCTCATGCTTTATTGCTGTCTCCCTTTGCAGTTAAGTGCCCAGAGTTTTTCAAGACATGTGATTCTTCAAGGTCAATGTTTGAGGTCTGTGTCCATCCCATTTATTGCAGGACCGATGAGTTTCCAAATAACGTATTATTTATATTTAAATAAAATTTCAACTGAATCTTAGTATAGATGCAATTCGAACAAATGCTGCTCTGAATCACATTGAAAGGCTGAGAATCATATTTATGTCTTCAGTGTGCAGGTCAAGGCCGCCTGTGCTTTCAGAAAGTATCAAGCGAGTTAACAAATTTGGCCTTGTGAAGAATTAGGGGGAGGAAACCTGAGGGAGAAGGAAGAAGGGTATCATGGGTGTGAGGACCTGTAAAGACATCTGAGCATCTCTATAGAATTAAGAAATGGATTTACTTGAGGCTGGCATGTCCTGTAATCATAGCTAGATGACACAGCAGAATCACAAATGGTTGGCATTTTCAGAGCTAGAATGGACCCAGGAGATCGAGAGCTATGTCTCTGTTTGGAAATGATGAAGCAGAGAACCCACAGGTCTGCTGAGGACACAATTAGTTTGGCAGGTCCAGTCACCCCTCTATACCTATCCCACTAAGAATTAAGGCAACAAATGGTTTAATGGAAATTAACTTACAGTGGCAGAGTAGAACTGCTCCCTAGGTTTTCTAAGACTATAACTCACTATGACTGCAGACAGCCTCATCTTTCTCCCAAGGAGGGCCTGGTGGGTTTGAATTACTGACTTTGTGGTTTGCAGCCCATTACAGAATGCACTGTCCTACCTGGGATCTCCCTGAAAGGAAGTTAGCTTTTTTAAAAAGCAGTATCATATTCTTCAGAGTTGGACCTGTTTTATTTTTGTTTACTGTAATTAAAAATAAACACCTTATATAGGATGGTGGGGAAATAGATCTATGTGCATACATTTATAGGTTTAGTATTAAGGCAGCATATGGACATTGGACCTCCACTCAAGTACTTACTCAATGCAAGAACACTTTGTTCCTGACACAATCGCTGAAGACAAAGCAGGTGCATAAGCAAATGTGGTGAAGAAAGCTGATGGTGCCCATCTATCAAAAGATATAGCATCTGGGGTCTTAAAAGCTTACAGGTAAACAAGCAGCCATCTAGCTCAGAAGCATCAAAGCCCACATGGAAGAAGCAGACCAACCTGTGTGACCATGAGGTGTAGAAAGGACCAGGTATCAGACATCAAAGAACAAAAAATCATATCAGTGGGTGCCCACCTTCCCAATATGATCACTAAAGACCAATGTGTGCATAAGTAAATGTGGTGAAGAAGGCTGATGGTGCCCAGCTATCAAAAGATATAGAATCTGGGGTCTTAAAGGCTTGAAGATAAACAAGCAGCCATCTAGCTCAAAAGCATCAAAGCCCACATGGAAGAAGCACGCAGGGTAGCAATGATGAAACATACAACTTTCCTCTAGTTCTTAAATGCTTCCTCCCTCCACTATCATGATCCCAATTCTACCTTACAAATCTGCCTAGACCAGAGCATGTACATTGGTACAGATAGGAACTGGAAACACAGGAAATCCAGGACAGATGATCCTTCAGGAGCAGTGGTGAGAGTGTCGATACCTGGAGGGCGGAGGGAAGGTCGGTAGAAAGGGGGAACCAATTACAATGATCTACATAACCTCCTCCCTGGGGCATGGACAAGAGAAAAGTGGGTGAAGGGAGACGTTGGACAGTGTAAGATATGACAAAACAATAATTTATAAATTATCAAGGGTTCATGAGGGAGGGGGAGCGGTGAGGGAGTGGGGAAAATGAGGAGCTGATATCAAGGGCTGAAGTAGAAAGCAAATGTTTTGAGAATGATGATGGCAACAAATGTGCAGATATGCTTGACACATGAATGTATGTATGGATTGTGATAAGAATTGTGTGAGCCCCCAATAAAATGATTTTTAATAAAATAAACACCTTTATAAAGTTAATTTAAAGGAATTTAAAATAATCAACAAAAGATCACAACAATTAACTTGAAAGGTAAATCAGAAAACTTGGATGATTGAGTATTGACTTAGAAATGTTCCTTAATTTTAAAGACTAATACTTCCCCTTGAAATAATATTTATTTTCAATGGAGAAGTTTTCATGTTTTGCTAAGGACATTACAAATACCTCATTAATTGAAAGATACCATAAATATGAAGTAAATATTAAGGTTTTGCCAGAAAATTGAGACACTATTTGGATAATTGTGGTTCCAAGTAGCGTATTATTTGTATTCAAGTGAGGAGTTGCCTGATTATTTAATCAGAATGATCTACCATTGAACTATTGTTTTCATGAATAGAAAATTGAACAGCTCGCATGCACAAAAGTGAGAGTTTTATGAATATGGTCCCATTATTTCCCTATCTCCAGCCCTCATGGTTTGTAACTTGTGTCTTGTCACTTATGTTATGAAGCTGTACAAATTAACAATTCATATATTACAGTCTAAAAAGATTTTTAAAAAAGATGAGGAAAGTGGCGCTTGGATTATGAAATAATGTTGAAAGTCTAGAAAAAGAATGACTCTTCTTTTGTCCCATGTTGGGAAAACCCCTTCACCTACTGCCTTTGAGTTGATTCCAAATCACAGCAACCCTGTAGGGAGAGCAGAGCAGCTTCACAAATCTCAGAGACAGACCACCTCACCCTTCTCCTGCAGAGCAGTTGGTGGTCTTAAACCACCGACCTTCTGATTATCAACCCAGTGATTAACCCACAATGCCACCAGGGGTCCTTAGACTTTTTGAAATAAAGAAAACTAACTATAGATGTCGGTGCTAGTCTCTGAAAATTCAGGTTCATACCATATAGGAGATTCATCACCTTAATCATCAAATCCATGAGACAGGTGTCCAAGAGAAAGAACTACCTCGAGGCCCCAACCCTGTATCAAATTCTAGCTTCAAGTAAGAGCTGCGTGACCTTGTCCCAGTTACCTTGCTTAGTGTTTTAAACTAAACACATATCTAACCTTGTAGTGTTTGGGGCAAATTTTAATCATAATTTTCACCCAAAAGGAAATCAATACCATGGACAATAGCCTCCGCCCTCCCCCAAAAGATAAAATGCCTAGGAATAAGCTGAACCAGGCATTTTAAAGACATATACAATGGAAATTATAAAACACTATGGAAGGAGACCTAAATAAATGGAAGAACATTCGATGCTCATGGATATAAAGTCTTAATATTGGGAAAATGCTAATTCTTCCCAGAGCAATCTATAGCTAATATGCAATTACTTTATAAATTCCAACTGAGTTTTTACTGAAATGAAAACATTAATAGCAAACTTCACCGGGAAATGAAAAGAGGTTCTGAATAACCACAGCACGAGTAAAGCCGAATAAAGTAAGAGGGCTCCTTCTCCCCAACCCCCAGAGTGTACGGCGACAGTCACCAGACAGCTGGTTCCAGTGTCAGGAAAGACACACAGACACATGGAAAAGAATGGAGAATCCCCAAATTAATCCATCATCCATGGACATCTTTTTAACAAGGGATCAAACTCTGTTCAGTGGGAAAAGTACGGTGTCTTCCACAATTGGTGCTTGCAAAACGGGATCTTGACTAAAAGAAAATGAAATAGGGTCAGTACTTTACACACCATACACAGGACCTCACTCAACAGAGATCCAAGACCTCAATGTTAAAGGTGAACGATAAAGTTCTTAGAACAAATCACCGACAAAAGCTTCGGGGCTTAATTTTGATACAGACAGATTGACAGAACTACAAAGGCACAAATAGTGGAAGGCAAACTAGATGTCTAGGATCTCATAAAAATTAAATACTTATACTTATCCAAAGACTTGATCAAAAGAGTAAAACTACAACCTACAGGCTTGGGGGAGGAAAAAAACCCAAACCTTTAAGAACAACATATCTGCCTGCCAAAGGTCTAATTTTCAAAACATATATAAACCTTTAACAATTCAAAAACAACCCCCCCCCCAAATAACCCATTAAAAAAACGTGAGCAACTACTTCACTTAAGAGGACATTTAAGCTGCAAACAAAAATATAAAAGATAATTTCTATTATTAGCCTTTAGAGAGATGCAAATCAAAACTAAAATGAAATACTCACTCACTTAGTGCTATAGCACTAATAAACAAACCCCAAACTGAAAACAATAAATGGTGGAGAGGATGGCAGGCGTGATAAAGTACTTTTTTTTTCTTGGTTAATTCAAATATTTATTGAACAGCTAGGAGACACAAAAGCTATAAAACATCATCAGAAAGGTAAGGTAAACATGAGAGGGCAGAATTTGGTGCACTGATTCAAAGGAAAGCAGAAGGAGATTGCTTCCCGCCTGTAAGGGGGACTAGATGGAAAGGGCGATTGAGATTAAACTAGAAGACTTGTCTGGACTGTTGATGATACTCAGAATGGACTACAATTGTCTCTCCTTTTCCTCTGCCCATCTTTGTGCTTAATTAACAGTAGTGCCCAGGGCTGTTCAATGCGCCTTTTCTATACTTGCTTGCATTTTTGCTTTAATGTCTTCTACAGAACTAGGGCCTTTCGGTGTTTGGGGAGTTTTTTCCTGTTTTTTGAAGGATTCTTGACCTTTGGATCTTGGTGTTGATGGTTTTGAGTCTTTTCCATTCTGGTTTGATTTTTGTGCATTTTTGGCTGGTGTATCCCATAGAGATTTCTTCACCGGAGCTTTTTCTTCAGTTTCATCATCATCAAAACCATCATCATCATCTTCACCGTCGTCCTCCTTATCATCTTCCTCATCAGCAGCAGCAAGTTTCACCTTTTTCTGTGGAACCTTGTTACCACTTGTGAGGGCAGACCGCTTTCCTGATACACTTAAAAGTTTCACATCCTCCTCCTCTTCATCATCTGACTCTACATCTTCTTCCACAGCTACTAAATGCTGCCCACTAATATGCACAGGCCCTGAGCCACCCTTCACCCGTAAGACCACTGGTGGTGTTATTTCAAAGCCCCCAAAGGAGACTGTTGGCTGTACAGACATGTTCAAAGTTGCCAGTGTGACTTTAATTGGGCTGCCTTCATAATTCATTGCTTCCGCTTCAACAATATGCAGTTCATCCTTGGCACCAGCACCTAAATGGACCATTCTTAAAGATAACTGGTGCTCATTTTCATCATTATCCACCTTAAAGGGGTCATCTTTGTCGGCCTTTAGTTCACAACCGAAAAGGTAGTTTTGGGGCCTCGGGGGGCTCATGTCCATATCCATCGAATCTTCCATGGGGTGGTGACACGCACTTCGGTGAGAGAAACAGAAAACGGAGGTAAACCACAGCCGTCGCTATACACAGCAGCGCAGGACGGAATCACACCAGGATAAAGTACTTTATAAAACTCTATGGCGAGTCCTCAAAGCACAGAAATAAAGTCACCTTATAACTTAGCAGTTCTACTCCTTGGTCTATTTTCTGGAGGTCTAATAACAGATACTTAAACTAACATGCCTAGCCATGCTTACTGAACACTAGTCACAGTAGCCAAAAGATGGAAACCCCCTAAGTGCCCATAGGTATATGGGCGCAAAAGCAAAATGTGATACACACTCTCAAGCCTTGCTTGATGACAGGGCTAGCTGCCGAAGACCAGATTGTGAGGCAAAAATCAACGTTAGGACAAAAAGGAGGATAAATACACAAGATCTCAAATAGATGATGACTGCATTTCATATGGTCCCATGTTATTAGACCACACCTGCCAAGTTACATCCTTAGATAACTGCCAAATCCCTGTTAGCCAGGGCTTAGCCTCATTGACCCACAGCCTTAATCATTATAGTTGGTGTTACTCCCTTTATGAATGGAACCTCACAAACGATCCAATTGTAAATCCAGGCAAACTCTGTACTAAGTCTGTGTATAATATCTTAATTTATTCCTTAATAAAATGTGTTGCAAATGAATTTTTCTTCACCTATTTGTCACTCTTACAGGCAGATGAAACACAAGCTCAAGTGGCACAATTTAGAGCGACCTGCTAAGACTTCTTACATAAAATATGCCTCTTTGTGCCTCCCATCCTCATATATCACCTCACCACGTGGGTCACTAGCACTACACCATTGAGGACATTTAGTGGCAGATTTTTTTTTTTTAAAGTAAATTTCCAGGCCTTTCTCCTGAAGCGCCTCTGATTCTGGTTAGCAGAAGTTAGCCATTTGCACCACACAGGAACTCTTCCCAGCCCCATAGCCAGGAACTTAGGGTTTTTAATGAATCAAATCAAATTTTGGAAAAATATTATCAATTTATTGATGAGGATGAGTTCATTGAGCTAATTTGTCAGACATGTAGAGGAACTCTAAAGGTTTGGTATACAGCAAAGATACAGCCAAACAAAATGAAAGAGACGGAGAGTAAGAGGGTGCACACATGCAGGCACACCGTACTCTACATTCTCAGGAAAACCACGCACCAAACCCTGTATTTACTAGGATATGATATATTGGATGAAAAAAATAAAAACCAGAGGAAGAACAGATGAAAAATAGAAGTAGGCTGGAAAATTCATTTAGCTTATATTTTCTTTTTTAAAAAAAATCATTTTATTAGGGGCTCATACAACTCTTATCAAAATCCATACATATATCAATTATGTAAAGCGCATTTGTACATTCATTGCCCTCATCATTCCTAAAACATTTCCTCTCCACTTAAGCCCCCGGCATTAGGTCCTCATTTTTCCCTTCCCTCCCTGCTCCCCGCTCCCTCATGAGCCCTTGATAATTTATAAATT